CGAGGCACCTCCCCTGGTAGGCTCACCAGACCAGGGAACTGACCAGGACTGGTTAAAAAAAAAGATCCAAAATAATTTAAAATAAGTTTGTTTTCAGCCACCATATCATCATCTTGAATGCTGTTGGCTATGCAACTGATTGTACGTAAGGGTGGGGAGGAGGAGGTGGGTATACTGGGGGAAGAGTGAGGCCAGCTGATGCCATCTTAACGTGTGTGCAGAACTCCTGGCCGGGGGACATATTACGTGCCACCCGTGCGACAGGGTAAGCACAGCAGTCTTGGGTCTCTACACAGTGGTGGCCTGGGGCTGGAACTTGAGCACAGCCACCAGAGGCAAAAGAGACACGCTCAAAATAGTCCATGTCCTTCATGAAACATTCATGAAAAGAAGAATGGTAACTTTTATTTTTAAATGAAAGCTGACCCATTTCTGAATCTCCCAAATCTAGAGCTGGTATGCTAACCTTGGGCTGTTCTTCCTCTGTTAACCTGTGGATAGCCGAACTGAGAGAAAGAGAAAATAAATTTGTATTGTGTGCTAGGTCAGAATGTTCTTATATTTTAAAATCTCTAGGACATCCGTGTTATCTTCAAAGGAATTTCAACTGGATCCTAAACAAGTTTGCTTAACAAAAATTCATAGAGGAATAGTTTGAATGAATAATATCAGGGAAGTAATGTAGGTTGTCAAAGGTCTTGACTGTATATGTGCATCATATATACTAGGACATTTTTTTTAACATGCTGTTTTTCCTTTAATAATATGATTAAACTTTCTACATAGGTATTGACCAGTTTTAGTCAATTGGATAGAGGTTCAGGTTCAAAAGTTCACCTGATTCATGCCGAGGCTTTAAACAGTCTTTTTACTTCCTTCTAAGAATACGCTATAAAATAAGAGGTTTGTGCTTAATTGAAAAATGAGTACTAACACTAACGCGCTTTTCAAAAAACATCTAGGATTTCTCTTAGCAAGGATTAGCCACCTGGCTTAATTTGCAGCCCTCCCACTCCTGTGTTTGTGTAGAAAATCATTCATCCTCTTCCCTGTCCCTGAAAGAGGGATAATGGAAGGAGTGACATATGAAGGCAGAAATACTGTCAATAATTTGCAGATAGACAACGAAAGAAACTGGAGTGTATCTGATGCTGGGTTTTGTGTTTCTTTCCTTGCTTCTCTCATCATGATGCCATCCAAAAGGGAATTCAGAGCTCTAGTGATTGAGATGGTGCTGGCCACCGATATGTCCTGTCACTTCCAGCAAATCAAAGCCATGAAGAATGCTTTGCAGCAGCCAGAAGGGTGAGTCACTTCACAACACTGTGCAGTGAGGGGCTGCGTTTCAGCTGGTGCTTCAAAAGTACCTCTCCAGAGGCCCTCACTCTCTTTGATGTTCACATTGATTCTTTTTCTGCTGTTGAATTTTGCCTGAATTAACTTAGGAGTGGACTGGCACCCCCCTATACACACAACTCTACTCTGTGCTGGTGGACGAAAGCTTGCAAAGGTCACCATGTTGGGATAAGCCTCCCCGGGCTTTTCCCTTTGCATATCAGGGTAACATCAAGGACATGATCCAGCTGAGTGACCTCTACAGCTTGAGTATGACTCAAAGTTATAAGATCTGCAGAACACAACTTACGCATTGCCCTCCTGCAGATTGTATCAGCTGCCACCTCTGCAAGGGGCCTGCACCATAACCAGAGAACAGATGAAAACAACTTGAGATCCACTGAGGGAAGGACTGGAAAATAACAGATGGAGCGATATGGGGAAGGCCTTTTCTTCTTCCCAGTATGCCACTGGGAGCTGTAATATTTTGTCCATAGCTCTTCCCCATAAAATTACTTTTATACTGCAGAAAGCACTGAGTAATAGTAATTTTTTCACCCTGGACACAGGTCTGTCCAGAGCCTCCCAGAATTATACCTGTACCAGACCAGAGTGTGGCTAGCCACTTGGTCCTCTCAGAAGCTACAACTCTTCCAGCTATTTCAGACAGCCAAAAGCTGGAATTAAAAAAACAAGACTACCCATCCCACGTAAACGTTATTTACTGGGTTCTTGGGCTAGCCTCTCAGGTTATGGTTTTAAGAAGTTGCCAGCCTTTTTTGTTCTGTGAAACCAGATGCAAGGATCCCCTTCTGACCTCACACCAGTTTTCTAGCAGTGAAACATTTATCAATTACTGCGTAGACTCATCAATGCCCCTGAGATCAGATCCTAACTGTTTACTACAGTAAAATGGTAGGGACCAACTTCTATTCTGAGCTGCATAAAATGCAGCCCAGCTGAAATGGGGAACACAGCAGCTCTTCATGCCTGCTTGTGCAGACAAGCAAGCCTGGAAAGCAACTCAGCAAGGCTGAGCAAAGTTTCTTTTTGCACTTCTTAATGTCTCTGTTACAACAGCAATGGTATATGTTAGAGATGAGACAATCTTTCATAGTTGTCTGATTTTATGAACACAGAAATTATTCCATTAATATCCTGGGCAAAGATTCTAATGACCTCATTTCCCTGCTTAGGTGAGATTTTTGTCATTCTCCACTGCAAGAGCAGACAATTAATTTGTTTGATCCTTTGGGTTTTCAGAATTGACAAGCCGAAAGCCTTATCACTATTGTTGCATACAGCAGATATCAGTCATCCAGCCAAGGCCTGGGATCTCCATCATCGCTGGACCATGTCTTTGCTAGAGGAGTTCTTCAGACAGGTAAAGCTGGGGAAGTTCCTCTGCATTTCTGCAGCACAGAGGGAGCATGTAGGATTGGGCAAGGAAGTAGGAAAATATGAACACAGATCTTTTCCTTCTTCTCCGATTTTCTCAAGAACCTCCTAAATGATATGAAGCTTTCTCGACTGGCACCAGTAGCACTGGCTATTATGCTTCTTGGGAAGTTAGTGTCTGATACACTGCCTATAGATATAGACGTTAGCTACATAGTAGAAATTCTAATTTGGGAAGCTAATATGTGTTTCAAATTAGGAAAATATAGAATATGTGATGTTCTACTTAGCTGTAGAACCATAGAAAACAGATTTAGGTAGCCGTACTTTATAGAACTGTACTTACATTGTTGAGGTAGATTTGAAAAATGCATTACCCTTACTTTAGATGAAGTGAGCTGATCTAGTGTATAGCTCACAGTGGACCACCTCTTGACGGACCCACAAATCTAGACAAATCATTAAACTTTGTGTGATAGCTATAAGCTCCCTAAGTGACTAACTAAAAGCATTTAAAGAGCTGCCTTAAAAAAATAAGCAAAAGTAAACAGAGCACTTAGGAGTGTTTAGGATACTTTTCACCAATATGAATCACTAAACTAAGCACGTAATTTCCCTCCAAAGTTCAATAACTTCATGTTTTGTAGTAAATCTGAATGCAAAAAAGAAAAATATATGACAATTTTTTAAAAGTTCTAACAATTTTTTAAAATGGCATCTGTTTTTAAAGGCATTGTGGGAATCCCTTCTTAATAAGGACATTGCAAGAATTTGCTTTGAAATGAATCCTTTAATTTGTTTTTCAAAACAAAAATGGGTTTACTAGGTGGAAGCAGGTAGGTCATACCTGCAGCTGTCTCTGTGTTGCCACATAGGAAGCTCATGCAGGTAGGATGATTTTCACATACATTTTAGGGAAAACTCTGTGCATGTTTATGCTTTTCTAGCTCAAAATTATACTAGATGTGTTAAAATACACCACTGGTGAGTCCCCTAAAGACTGGTGAGGGAATTAACATTAGCTAGATATGAGACCACAAAAAGCCCAAGTTTTGATCTGTTTTACACATGTAATGAAGACAAAATTATTATTTTATGTTTTCGTAAGAATAATTTAATTTCAGCCAACAAATCCTATTTTAGTTTTGAATGACAAATGCCTCCACTTTTAGATAAAGCTTTATATAAAACTTGTATTCTAGTTCCAAATTCAGATGCAGTATTAATTCTCTCTTCAAGAAGACCCTTAAGCTTACTGTGAAGCGTAGACTTGTGTTCATTGAAGTTATTTAGAGCTAGATCAATAAATACATCCCTACCTGACAGCAGAAGAACAACACACACCCTTCTCACAAGCTGAGAAGTACCACTAGCCAGAGCGGACCATGGGGATAAGAGACTGGGCTGGCCTCAGATTAGGTATTTATGTCCTTATGCTCTTCACCTGCAGACCCTCTCCTGTCTTTTCTGTTATGAGCTCTGCAGAGACATAGAGTCTGACTTAACCTATATCAGTACAGGTCCCCAGCCCTATTGGTTTCCAAGTATTTTGTGATGTGACACAGGTCTTCCTACACCAAGTAACCATGCTGTAGGTGTGAGTAATGCTTCTGAGTACAATACTGGTTTTTTACATTCAGCAGCTACGGTGAGCCTCTCTTGAAGCAAACATCTTGCCTGAATTAATTTGTTTTACTAATGCATTTTAGCTAGCCATGAGGGAGCTGCCCAAACAGCTTAGAAGTAGTCAAGTATCTCTCTGAGCAGTCAGAAAGGCAGTTAGGAGTTCCTTCCTAAAGAGAATTAGGCACTGGGATTTTTAAGAGGCATAAGGAGTAAGAGAAGAATGATGATTAGGTAAGAGCTGGCTTTTCCTGAGAGATGCAGCAGACACAGTAAAGGAACACTATTTTGAAATATTTCTGTGTTTAGTTTCTTGTTTTACCCTGATATTTGTATGTCAGACTCCTAACGTAAAGCAAAATTGTTCTGCAATAGAAGAATACTATTGGTTGCTGTTCCACCCAAAACTCTAACAGGACTTGTGCCCCCATTTCATTTATGTTATATTAACAAAAAGAAGAATTATTCAGCTCTTCTTATGCCTACAGAAGTTTTTCTCTGATTAGTTTGCTGGCTATTTTAGCTTCCATTTGACATTAGTCAGAACACTGGCAAGAAGTTCAGCACAGTTAAAGTAAGCTGCTGATTTAAGGAATTGATTCTATAGTATAGTTAACAGGCTATTTAAATTTGAATGCTCAGTGGGGACTATTGCAACTATGTCATACTATATATCTTCTCAGCATAAAGCAATATGTTATAGAGTGACTGAACCAAGTTAAGGGGCTTTTTGAGAATATGCAGCTTGAAAGACTGGAAGAAAATGGGATTATAACACTTGATCTTCTGCACCATCTTCTGATGTTAGAAAATGACTTTCAGTTCTGGGGGCTGGAAGGCGTGTTTGGACTTTTGTACTTAAGCATTTATGTGAAATGTTGACAATGTCAGTGTTTCCTTTAGAAGAAAAAAGTAATCTGCATGTGGCCAGCCATGACCTATGAATTCCTTATCTGAAAGACTAAAAAAGACATGCAAAGAAGTGCAAGCCCTGAAAAATCAGACCTGACACTGATGTTTTCTCTTGAAATGTTTGCTTTGAGAACTAAGTTCTGCTGGGTTCTCTTTAGAACTGCACTGAGAAGTGTCCTTGTGGTCAAGTGGGTTTTTAGTTGATGCATAGAAGTACCAGGCAAGCAGGGAAAGTTCTGAGGAAATATTCACTGGAATCAAGATGCTTAATTCACCAACTTCTCCTTGGACTACAGCTTTTTCAGCCAGACTCAAATTCTCCACAATTTGTGTTAAAAAAAAAAAGACAAAAAACAAAATAAAAACTTAAAGAAAGTAAAATGAGAAGCTTTTACAGTTGTGACCTAAGATATTAAAGTGCAATGTGTGTGTCTTGTCTTTTTCTAATTTCTTCTCAATTTTGTTTCGCCAGGGTGACAAAGAAGCAGAACTAGGACTTCCCTTCTCTCCACTGTGTGATCGCAAGTCTACTATGGTTGCTCAGTCTCAAATAGGTATGTCCCTTTTGGTGCACGCAAAGTAGCATTTTAAAAGCAAAACTTACTCCTCCCTGTGCGGCTAAGATCATTGTGATCTCTCATCATTTGGAACTATGTTAAAGAGAGGAGATAAAGCACAATGGCGTTATTTTCCCCAATCAACAATTCCAAGCTGAGGAGCCATTAAATTTATGGTGGTGGCTCCATGCATTAATCAAGTTACCTCTGATGTGTCTGCAGAGATGACTACAGTGCCTGGTTATGACTCTACTACATGGTTTTCTGAGCTGTGAAGATGAGGTGCACACGGCGATGTGTTGTGATATGAGTATCATTGGTGGACATAAAAATGTAATGTCAGTCCCTTCGATGACCTGGGCAAAACCTATTGTGTGTTATTCCGTTTATTCCTCTCACCCTTTCCCTCCCAGTGCTTCAAGCCAACCGATATTTTCCACTGAAGCCAAGCAAATAGCAAACCTTTTTCTACTCCACCCATTCAGAAACAGAGATCTTTTTACAGACTCACCAACAGCGCTTTCTCTACCTCTTCTCCAGTTATTGAGTGAAAAAGTATTGAGTGAACAAGCCTCATATTTGGTGAGAAAACAAGAGGAGCTAAGTGAAGCAAAACTATTCAGGAGGCTGGGAGCAACAAAAGACAATGGAAAAGGTGGATTTGTGGGTGGATTTTTATACCTAGGAAGTGAAGTAAACAGAAGAATGTGATCTAACCTCGACTAGAGAATAGGGTGCCAAATGGAATAACAAAAGAAAGGTAACATGGACCCTAAAAATGAGGAAACTGAGACCAGAAGCAGAAAGAGAGAGAATGTATTAAAGGAAAACAAACAAAAAATTTGAAGTATGATATTTCGCTCAAAGAACAAGACAAAGATATCCCTGAACCTAGGAAAGTTCGGATTCATATCTGTGGCTAAGAGCCGTTTCAGTTTAAAATTATTTCATTGTTCCTGTTAGGCAAGCCATTCTCTGAGGGACCCCATCCCAGATTTTTCTGGCTTTGGAAGTTTAGACAGTTGAGCCAAGAATCTGAACTTGAAAAGCCCTGTGCAAGCCTGGCCTGGCTGCCAGACTTGTAGTGTTTACTCCTCTGCAATGGTAACCGAGAAGAGTGGGAATGTGTGTAGAGCGCCGTGCAACTGCTGAGGACATTTGTGTTCTGCCAGCAGCTCGGTGCAGGGAAGCAGCAGCAAACTTGAAGTGCTGCAGCCTCAGCTAAAACCCATGTTGAGGACTCCTGGGCACACTACACCGACTGCTGTGCTGTGGGAGAAGATAAACTCTCTTTCTGGCTGGTGTGGAGAGAAGCGCATGTAGAGATTTCTCTTTCACATCCTTTCTGTCAGCTTTCAGATATGTCCCTCGCTCCTTACAGGGAAGAGGAGTTGCGCTTCTCTCTACATAGGATTGTGTGTGCTTGGAAACCAGTTTTCCTTGTCCTCTTTTGTGTTCCTTTGCTCAGGAAGGCCAGGAGAGCCAAGAAACTTCTGCAGTGATGCCCCTTGTGTCAAGCCACTGCAAAATTAATGATGAATTAAATCATCACCGAAGCAATTCCACCCTACAAAAGAAGCACTCGTCAGTATGCAAAGGCAGCCTTATTTAGTCATATACTATTTGTCATTATATTTGATTTGTGCAGTTCAGTAATCCATTGACATTAATAGGCTACTCTCTATAAATCTTGCCTTCTAACATTATAAAATGTTCATTTCTCAGTCTGCTGCATATATTGGCAATAGCTTTCTGTAACGTCTCCTTTGTTAAATCAAAACCTCTTACATTTTCTGGCTATCTGTTGAGGTAAGGCTTTCGAAATTGTAGGCTAGATTCTCAGACAAATAATCTGTTCCCATTCATTTATTTAACTGATTGATAGCCTTAACAAATCATTCCCTGGAATAATAATTACTACGTTTCTTTGCAAAAGTAAGTTGTTCTTGAATTCTAAATTGTGCTATTATCTGCAGCAAGAAGTCATCGGTTCCCACAAATAAAAGACGTCTGTCCTTTGTGAAATAAAATTGTGCTCTTGGTTCTGTCAGGGACAGAGCCTAGAAATCAGAGCCTAGTGGCTCGACTTGTTTGTAGTTGCTGGTTTGCAGCTCTCAGGTCATTGCAGGTGCAACAAACGTGGGCAAGCATTTTTATTAATGAAAGATTTTCACAAATGCAGACTGAAGGTTTTGCAATACGGACTTCTTCCACGGAAATGAAGTAATCTAACAGCAAAAACCTCCTCAAAAGAAAGAATATCTCTCTCTCCTGTTGCTTCAGTTTGTGAAGAAATTGTTCGGAGTTTAAAGTGATAATTAAAAAACTGAATATCAAATAATGAACCTGGATTTTAAAATCTATTAATGTTAATGCTAATGACCAATTTATAATCCTTTTTCCTCTTCAATAGAATGAGTGTGGTAAATATTTCTGTACCACAGTGTAGTACAGAAATCAGAAGAGATTCTTGTCCAGAAGTCAGGCTGCTTATCAGAGTGGGGGAGACAAAAAAACTTCACAGAAAGCCAGGCCAAGACTTGTATTTCCCAACAAGAATGTCAGGAGTTAAATCCTCTTTGACTGTCTCAGACTGTAGGAAGCTTGTTTGACTGGAGATCAGCCTTTGTTGTCACTGTCCTCTTTTGGAGCTGATAAATGTAGCAGCATCCTTTTATTTTTGTCCTTTGGCTGGCAAGAAAGAAAATTACAGCTTCAGAAAACATTGGATAAAGGCTGATGAGTGCATGCTGATGATTTCTTTTTTCTTTTTTTTTTTTTTTTTTTTTTTTTTGGGTGGTGGGCTTTAGAGAAACTGTCCTCTAGCCAGTGTTTGCCGTGGTGACGTTCTCAGGTGGAATGAATGAATGCTAGGCACATGCCTGGAATCCACCCTCAGCATGCAGTGTTAATTGGTAAAATCATCTTAGTCACTGGGGTACAGAAATATTTACCACATTCATTCTATTGAAGAACAAAAAGGATGATAAAATGGTCATTAACATTACTAGGTTTTAAAATCCAGGTTCATTATTTAGTATTCAGGGTTTTTAATTAGCCAACTAAATCACTATATTTAAATCACAGTGTCTTTAGGGAAGAAGAGAGAGAACACAGGGTGGGGGAGGCACTTGGGAATATGGCATAAGTTACATAATTATTAATAAAGTCCTAAGTTTTGTTTCTGCGATAGCAGATTATGTTTCCCAACTTTATTATAATCCCCATTTTAAAGTAACATAGTTGAATAACTTATTCATGTTATAGGGAATAGAGGAAAAAATACCACTTATCAAAGAAAAGTTCTCCTAGGTTTTTGAGTTTGTTTACCTATGGTCCCTTGTGCCACCTCTGCCTGGCTTTGTTGATGAGATGCAGGGCTCTTCTCACACGGAAAACTTGTTTCTTAGATGCTTACAACTGGACCTTGTGTTTATGTGCAAATGTTGAGTATCTCGGGAAGTGGATCCCACCACCCTGGTGCTGAATTTAGTGACACAGTCATGCATCTGATATCAGAGATTTGCATGTCTCAGGGTTGTTAGTGGTGATGGAGCAAATGGCAGTGGTATTACTTGCCAAGCAGAAGTGACAAGGTACTATGGCTTGGGTTTCTTTGGTCATTAAGAGGTAAACATTTTTTTGAGTGAGGGGGAATGGAAGAGACATATAGACAGGCAGACACCCACACATATGTAAGTCAAGTTCTCATTATCCTCAGGATTCCTGTGGCACACTTAACACTGTTCTCAGTCAGCACAATTTCCAGTGTTTTAAAAAATTATATGACGTTTGCTGGGATTATCTGATTTGTGATCTAGCACACAATTCCCTGTCGTGGCTTTATACTGCACACATTTCTCCCTAGGAGGAAGGGAGTTATTTTTTCCCTAAATTTGAATAGATAAGACTGTCTCAGTGTTATGGAGGTACATGATTCAGATGTTCAGATAAGACTGAATGCGTATTTTCTCCAGATTTACAGAATGTTAGTGTGAAATTCTGAGAACTTGCAAGTAACATTTTTAATTTGGCTAGGCATGAAAATACACTTAATTACCCATCCTTTCAGAAATTTAGCAAAAATCAGGGGAGGGAAATGGAAGTAGAAGGATGCTTAACTGCCTTGCACTCAAGATGTGGATCAAAGCATCTGTGAATTCAGGTGCCTCGCCCAGGTGGTCTCTTCTCCTTTTATTGTTCTGTCATCACCTAGAATTGCCAGGGCCTGTCATAGAAACATATCATGACTCGGTCAGAGAAATGATGATATTATGAATGTATAATTAATAGTTGATGATTACCAAATCTTTAAAAATTGTAACAGTAGGGAAAGACCTGAATCCCGATGTACCTTAGGAGGAATTAAGGACATAATTATTTTCTTGGCAACCTCCAGCGCTAAGAAATTTGCTAAGTGAAGTGCTAAAATGAATGTAAGAAATAGTCCTTGCCCCAGATGAGAATTTAGGGGAAGGTGTAAGGTACTGTAAGCTCCTCACGCATTTTTTCCACGCAACTTGAATTTTCTTTCATCTCATGAGCTTATGGTCACAGCCTTTCAGTCTGCCCTTCCCAACATTCAGATCAGAGCCGTATTCATCTCTGCCAAACTGTATACTGAAGTAGAAATTATTTGACCCTTTATTTTTTTCCTTTCCTTATGTTAAAAAATGGGGGGAAAACATCTAAATCTATTTTATTATCAACAAGAACAAGCTGGCCGAGCACTGAGGAGAGAATATTCACAGCAACCCACTGATACGCAGTAAGGGAGGTTTGCATGTAACTCCACACCAGCAAAGCTTACCAGTATTATTACTGTTACATTAATTTTCTGCTTTTAGAGAGTTCATCTTTGAAACTGGGTTTTATCCAAATCCGCTAGGAATTTGGCTTAAATATCACACTCCTCGTATAAAACAAGTTCTGATGCATCTGTTTATGTTCTGATTTGCTGCAATTTCTTTCCAGTGTTTAAGTAGGTACGTTTTATTGCATGCTATATCCAGGCTCTTGGGTCAGGGATTAATGTTTAACTCCATTTTCGCGTTCCAGTATTTGCCTATCCCTCTTTCAAGGTATGATTTTTTTACTCTATCTTTTACAGTGTGGTTGTCTGCAATCACTGAAGCAGTGACTCCACATAAATGCTCCCCTTGCCTGCTTGACTCTGCTTGTGTTTCTGCTCAGGTTTCATTGATTTCATCGTGGAACCCACTTTTACTGTGCTGACTGACATGACCGAGAAGATTGTGACTCCACTCATTGATGAAGCTTCCCGCTCTGGCATGTCCGGGTTCAGGCGTTCCAGGTGAATAACCATGCACCCTCTCCTGTCACTCTGCACATGCTGCCATTGTGCCCAACTCCCCCGGCTTCCCTCCCACAGTATATGTCTTCCATGTGGCTTAAAGCCCCATATCCGCGCTGCCAACACTGCAGCACACCTTGTGATATGACTCTGTTGCAGGAGAACTCCAGCCCAGGGGAGGGCAAAGAGGGAGGCTGGCATGAACCTGAGTCATGCCTCCAAAGGCAGTGAGCACAAATGGTTATAGCCATGCAATCAGGCGAACTTTAGTGCTTTCTCAGTCACTAATGTCAAAGAGAAGGTAGAGGAAGTCATTGGGAGGCACTCATTTCTTCATGTCTAGAAGTATAAATGGGATTGAAATATAAAAGAGGACTGGGAAGTATAAGCACACTTTAGTGACAGTATTTAGGGTTACACCAATGTGTGAAGTACCACCAGAATTCACCTGGAGTTCGGGTGTAAGGAGTCTTGGCCCATTCAACCTGCTCTGCTGTTGTAGAGAAGCTGCTCTTTTAATAGTTTCATGGACAGGCCATGGCTTGGGATTCAAATGGCACGTGGCTAGTGCTCCCTAGAGTAGGGCTACCAAGTCAGGATTCCCTCTACCAAGTGAATTCTTTACTCTTGGGCTGTTACACTATGTAATATCTATGTCAGTTATCTTGCTGCCTTTATTAAAATGTGCACAATGAAGTGTCCATCCTTGAAAGACAACTGTAGGGTCTGTAACTGAAGTGAGTGCCTGATTTCAGCCTCAGCTGAGGTCACCAAGCCCTGGACAAAAGTTGGCCTCCCGTCCTGTGTCTAATGGCTCCCACTGATGAATTTTTAGGAGGCATATTTGATTTCTAGAATTGTCTGACTCTCCAATGAATATTTAGGGAGTGAAGATGCACAACAAAGGTAATGGCAACACTTTGAGTGATTCTATTTGTTAGGCACTATGGATACCAAAAAATAAGCAGGGAAAAGCTACCCTTTATTTCTAATACTGGCTCAGGTTATGCTGTTTGCTTTAACATTGGTTGCCCTGGGGTGGGAGGGAGGGAGGGGAGGATGAGGGATGCAAGCTTAGTTTTTGTTTTTCCTCGTTGACTCTGTTAAGTTATCTAGACTTACAGTCATTATTTCTTCTTAGCTGTATTCGGGTGTATGGGATACTGATTTCTTCTGTGTTTTGTGATCTTGTGTCCCAGTCTGAATAGCATTAGTCCCTCCGAAGTTAAAAGATCAAGTGTCAAGAGCACTGGGTCTGAAGGAAGTGCCTCACTCAACTGCTCCATACTCACTGTGGACTTCAAATGTTTTAAAGCCACCTGGACTGAGGTGGTGCAGCAGAACCGGGAGAAATGGAAAGCGCAAGCCACCAAAGGTAACAGCCAGGCTTCTTAGTGAAAGAATAAAAATTCTTTTCACCTCTTCTTCTTCAAGCTCTTCTTTGATCAAATTATTCTCCAAGTAAGCACTATTAGTTTGAAAGAATCTGTTTTTCAAGGTCAACAACCTACACTGAATTCAGAAAGATAGGAATAATGTGACTCATTGGTGCTTTATCATCTTCTTACGTGGTGTAAGTGTACATAATGAAGAGGATGTGGACAATGGGAGGAAAAAAAAAATTTGTAAGGGAGGTCCCCTAAAGTCATGAATCAGATTCAGGGTGGGTGCAAAAATAGCTGGAACAGCATTTGTAGAGATAGGTTATTCGTTGTTCACTGTTAAGATTGAAAGAGGTATGGATGGTAGTTCAGGGGAGAAGGACAGGTTATTCTGCATTCACAGCTGGTTTCATATTTCTAGTGATAACTTGGATAATGAATTCGGAACTATGCTGCAAATGCTCACAATGCCATCAATCTGGGAGGGACTGCAAATATTTCAGCAGAATATGAGGGCTGTGTTGGTTGCAAGTTGACCAGGATTCAATACTGTTATGCCATTGAAAAAAAAAAAACCCAAACAAAAACCCAAAACCAAAAAAAACCTACAACAGACCTTGCTTCTAAGACCCCTCTTCTTAGGGGGTGCTCTTCCTGTCTTTTCAGCAGTAACAAGGCCCCCACAGCAGTGCTGTGTCCAATTTTGGCCACTGCAGTTCAGGAAACATATGGACCAGTTGCAGACAATACAGAGTACAGCCATGCCAATGATGGTGACCGTTGTTTATAGCTGAGAAGGTTTATAGCTGAGAAGGTTTATAGCTGAAAGTAGTTTTCTGAAGACAACTGCAGAAGCAAAATAAGGGAACTGTTTTTTTATTCAAATACCCTCGGCTGTTAAGAGGAGAAAAAATTGGCAGGTGTTTATAACCTGATAATAGGTTAGACATTGGCAAATCTCTATTGTTGGAGATCTTTCAGAACTAATGAGAGCCATCTGTTGAGAATGACTTAGGTATAACTGCCCCTTTCCTCCAGGGGCTGGATGATTGCCAAGGTCTCCTTGAGCCCTGGGGTGATTTAGACCAGCTTTGGAACCAAAAAAGGAGGAATGTATCACTGATTAATTGTTTTTTCTTCATGAAACTGTTTGTGATACAATTTCTTCTCTGAGCTGAATGCTTCTAACTCAAACCTTTATTTAATAAAGTTGTTGTATTTCATGTAAATGGAAGGAGTTCGATTTTAATGTATTATGTGGCCTTGGCTTCAGGGCTGATGGAAGATTTGGCGTAGTTCTCCTGCTTGCCAGAGCAGATTGTTCCTCTCCAACTGAAAGGCCTGTCTAAAGGTGCAGGAAAGCACTCATTATTATTCAAATAGATGTGCACACATTGCTTAACTAATGCTGCTACTGGTAGTATGTATTGATGCAGTATTTCATATCCATTCTTTACAGAGTATCCTGACGATAAGTGTTTGGTTATTAATACGTTAGCTGGAGAGGAAAATGTTTTATTTTTAATTGCCTCATAAAAAAATCCTTCTAGCAGCTCCTGAGGGTAGTCTATGGAAGAATTAGTTGATCATTTGAAAGCAGAGAGCTCACCAGTCTGCATTATTAGACATGGAGCCCTTGAGTAGGTCATTTTATCTTCACCTTTCTGACAATCTTTAGCCGTGAATAGTTGATTTACTTTATGTTTTTGCCAAACTTCATTGCCAATAACTTGGATCAGGGCTCCGGTTTATGGGTTAAAGATTCAGAAAGCAGTCTCAGCTTCTGTTCATCTGAATTCATTGTCTTTCACGTAATTTCTGTGTTTCTGGGTCCATTTAGCAGTACAAGCATGCATATTTTTTTATCCTGAAAGATTTATACGAATGTATGGCTCAGCATACCTTTGTATGGGCTGGGGGCTAAGGAACTGTTCTTGGACTCCAGAGCCCTCGCATCAAAACCTTTGCTCAGCTGCTGTCTTGCTCCTGACCTGCAGCAAGTCTCTGCACCCCCCTCCATCTGCCTTGACTGTCTTAGCCATATGCAGCAGGGCCTGCCACGCAGCAGGAGTTTAAATTGCTGACCCCCATCCAACCGGTGTCTTGCAATGCATCAAGATGCTCTGCCAATAAAAATAAAAATTATTAAGGGAAGACAGATAAAGCATTTAAGTGTTGACTGACAACAAATAGCAACTGGGGATCAGAAGGGAAGGAAACCCATCTATTATTATTATTACTATTACCGTTGCTATTATTATTATTAAATGATTTGTAGAATGCTGTATTCCCTTTGGTAATGGCATTGTCCCTAGAAGCATCAGTGAGCTGTTTTTATCCTGAGTGTGGTATTTATAGAAAACTTCTCGGACTGTGTGGGCAAAGTAAGTGGGTTTATTACTGATCTCTTTTTGCTTAAAGGATCATCATTAAAGAGCTACAAATTAAAAAATTGAATAAACAAACACCCTGATGTGCAAAGCACCATTTAGATAAAGTTTTTTCTGACACTAATTTTGACAAGAGGCACTCGTCCAACGGTGCTGTAGCAAGCCCCCGTCTCCTGAGCCGAATCTCTCTCCTGAGGTTCAGGTGCAAAATGCAGCATTTTCTTTTCAGATCCCCAAATGAGAGGAATCTGTATACCATGAGACTCCAGGGAAAATATCAACATGCATAGCTGAGCTGTCTGTGGAAGCTACCATAGATTTCAGGAATGATTAATAAAATGAGGGAGGCTCATATCTAATTTAATTATATTTTCGTGTGAGCCATAATTTATTCATTTATAAATTAATTAACTTTAGTTAGTTGCTGGCAAGGAAATACAGATTGGCATTTCTTATAAAGACGGCTTTCCCCCTTTCTCTCTTATATCCCATCGGTACATTTTTCTCAAAACTGGTTCTGATTCACTCTTAAGAAGTATTCAGACACTTAGAAATTCTTTTGTGATTTTTACTCACTGGCCAAGACCCTGCTCCTGTAAGGAACAAAACATCTTCCTTATAAGTGTCAAGAATACTTCTATGGGATCAAGGTAGACTTTATTCACTGTTTTGTAGGATCTGTTCATCTGCTCATCAGCTTACACAGTCTCAGAAACCAGGAGATACATCTATTTGTGATTCCTTTCACAATTAAAGTGCAATTGGTTGTCTGTGATGGCGTGATGCATGGGCCGGGATATTGCAGACCCGGAAATATTGAATACAGGCATAGGGCAGTCACATCTGAATGCTTGGACTCAGTATGGATATAGATATGCTCTGAAGCTGTGTAAGCTTACAGGTTCCAAACTGAGTGTGTGTTGAGCTACTCGGCTGCTTTTGCAGATTAATTCTCTATTGATCATGGAAAAGGGGGAGAAAATTATGGAGTCTCTGCCCAGAGTCTTTGCGCACCCAGCCGGGTTTATTAGCTCAAGGACTGCGCTGAGGGGCTCTGGTTGTGTCCTGCTTTCCAGTGTGATGCAGGAAGCCACACAGAGCCTTTGCAGCTGAGTCTGTGGGGTTGTGCAGTACCCAACCTGGGCTAGAAATGTAGTGGGCTCAACACCTGGAGCCAAAGTAATTTGCAACCTATGTTATAAGTAAGTGTTGCATCAGGACCCAAAGTCTGGATAAGAACAAGAGCAGTATCTCGAATGGGGGAAATTGGCTTCTCTGTGAATTTTTTTTTTTTTCTGGATGACAATATTTTGAGATGCTGCTGTTATTCAACACTCACTTTTGAATTTATACCTTTGCATATTTGTGATTGACTATAAGACTTCTTGGGATGGAAGGGCAAGTACTAGTAGCAATATATTAGTCTGCCAAGAAAGGATAGAGCCATAAAGAAGGGATAACAGTAAGTGGAAGGGAAGAGATTAGGAAGCTGGCATTGGAAGCAACCTGAAACAAGAGGGGAAAAACGTAGATATCAAAGAACCAAGACTTTTTATGTGCTTAGAGTTACATGGTACGGTATGAGATAAACTGAATGTCGTTTGACTGATTGTTGTGTCAAAAATGAAACTAACCTTGGCACCCCTAGAGCCTTCAATAGCTAATATCTCTTTTTTATTTGCCTTTTAACAATTTTTGAGGAACTGCATTTTCAAAGGTGAACCTTATAGGCAAAAAAAGGACATGCACATAATATGCATTTAGGCCAACATGCGGTGGTTTTTTCAGAATACTTTCTTAAAAAGTTCTCCTGTGCTCTTTTTCCCTTGTCAAGTCAATTCCTACATTTATCTAACTAAAAGCTGTTTGCATGTAAAAAGCTGAGTAGATTTAGATGTGTGAGTTGTATCGTTCTTGTCAAATTGACTGGTAATCATGATTTCTTTCCTCATTTTGCTTCCCTCTTTGCTGAGGATGCAGAAGAAAAAGCTAAGAAAGAAGCAGAGGAGAATGCTCATCAGGGAACAGATGAAAAGAAAACAGATGAAAAGGATGAGAAGAAGCCGGCTGAAGATGCCACAGCAGCAAAGACAGAGAACAGCAAAGAACCAAATCCTGGGGAAAACAAAAGCGCAGATTCCAGTAAGAATCATGTAAATGGGACTCGGCAAACTGGGGTGAACAAACACGAAACCTCTCAAGGGAAAAATGCACCTAGGACAGATAAGGGAACAGAGTCTCATCATGCAGTGGGAGAAGAGAAACAGCATGTCCAGAATGGTGAGTTCTCTCCTTCCACTGAAACATGAATCCAGCCCTTAACCCATTACCTCACCTCAGTGATGTCCTGAAAAATGATGTCCTGGGCCCAGAGCCTCTTCTTGGACATTGACATAGTTACCTGCATATGGGAATTGGAATCTGTAAATTAACTCCCAAGTAGTGTTCTCCTATAAAAGATGGGGTTCATCATACCTACTTGGGCACTTTTGGAGGAACGGAAAAAATGACTTTTCTCATGGAAATGAAGCAGCCTGTTACGATACACACTTAAAAGCTGAAACAAATAATCTTGGTTCAACGAACAGCTTCATTGCTTGGGTAACTGACAGAGGAGAAGCCGAAGTTGGCTTATAAACTCTTATTAAGGCCAATTAAAGGTATCTTTGAACTGAGTCTCAGAGATAAATATGTTTTGGGACAGAGGATTTTTCCCCCTCTCTGTTTTTAAGGGCTATTTTATTTATGCTTCCTTTGCTCAGTTTTTTTATTAGGGCAGGCATGAGCCTTTTTTTTGAGATTTTTTTTTGTCAAAAATTTTATTCCAGTGTTTTAACTTGCTATAGAACTGAGTTAAAATAAGAATCACTTTTTGCACCCAAAAAGGTGGAAAACTGTTTGAAAATTGCATTAAACATTAAAAAAAAATTATTAGACCCATGAGAACAGATCAGTGGTCTCTTGGCCATTTCACTGTCTTTCCCTCTCCAGCTCCTGCTCCCTGAAGCTGTTATCAAAAAATGGCAGTACGGCCACATGTGACTTCTAACAAACTTGGCTAGTATCAGCCAGTCCAAAACCAGCAAAAAACTCAGACTCAGAAGCATCCTCTTAGAAAAAGCCTGAGTGAGCATACGGGCTTTGAAAGTCCCAGGCTCAGGCAGTGAGTTTAGATGGCAGCAGAGGCAGAAATTCAGAAATTCTGTT